AAAACAGAACCCCCACCCCCACCAGCACTGGCAAGGCAGGCCACAGCAGATAGAGAGCAAACCTCATCCCATTTTAGCACTGTAGATGTTACCTAGGCGGGTAATGAAACATTTGCAAGAAAAGAACCAAGCTCAGAGAACCCCAAGGACTCCACTATGGAAAATATGGTCCGGACAGAAGATCTGGCCTGGACTGTGACCAAAAATGAAGTAAGGGGTTGAAAACCAGAAAGAGATTTCTTAAGCCAGCTTCATTTCTGTCTGGTTTATGCCAGGGAGACAAGCTGCTAAAGGCTGCATTGTGAAAGCCCAGTCTATCATAGTTACAGTCAGAAACCATTTTATACAGTATGAAAACAAATAAAAGAAGAGCATTAGTACAGTGTTACAAACATAAACTTTATAAACATGTACTACTTAAAACTCATCCAATTATTTCTTTGTAATATCCCTTATCAAAGCATATATTTCCATTATTGTTGAGTAAATCTTCTTACATTATCTGTAATTAAATCCTTCTGATCAGATAGGAAAAATGGGGAGGAGGTTGTTCCTCTATCATTAGCAAATCTTTTCCTCAAAAATAGTGTATCTTTCTTGTACCAAGGGGCAGAGCCAGGAATACTCATTGGGCTGGGGTCTAAAAAGTCAAAATAATACAATTAAAGTCTCACAACTTTTTGTACATGCATGCGCATGTAGAAAGGGGTGGGACTTCAATCACATGGTAAAGCTTTCACCTTGACCTCCCCCCAATGCCATTTGAGGGGTACTTGTCCTGTTCCCCATGCCACATTGATAGAGGCTACTTTTAGCAGAGATACAGCCAAAAATGTCCTTTAATAATGCAGATGGGAAACCATTACCATAAGCTGAAGTGAGTGGATGGTTTTTCGAGGTCAGAATTATAGTTTTCAAGCTGGAATATAAGAATTCTTTGTGCCAAATAGTATAAAAATAATGGCACATAATTCAAACCTTTTGGAAGCTCTATGCTCATGACTTTTGGTTTTATAATCTCTTTAGCTCTGAGGCAAGAAACCACAATCATTAAAATATTGTATTTACATTCTTCTCTGAGAGTGAAAGAGGTAAGTTAGGGTTAGGGATGCTAACTGAGGAAAATATTAAATTATCCAATAATTAAGACATAATACTAAGTACTTATCTTAATTAAAGGCATACCATATTCTCCAAGAATTGGACATGATTGAACAGATTAAAAAAACAACAACTTTCAGTTCACCACTGCAAGTGGATGCACAATAGCCAGGCTGTTCTTGAAATCTACCAAGAGAAAAAGGCTGAGACATTTTTATTGGCTTCCAAATTTCTTGATATTATCTGAAGCCTTTTAAATCAGAATAACATATTACTAGCATCAAATGAAGCTTATACTCTATTTTATGAAAGCTTATGTCTTAATTGATATGAATATCTTCAAGATGCTACAAACCTCTGATTCTGGCTTCTTTTCTGGAATCTGCCGTGTAAGAGTACTAGCTCAGCTCAAAATTTTCAAAGAAATATGCTGTGAACTGGTGCTGGGACGTTCCCTCTCCAAAATCTATGTTTTATTGCTGAGCACTTTCCCATCCAATTTTTAAAACTTGGATGGCTTCTTATTCAACAGTCCAAATTGTTTCAGAGAGCTCCAACAGCTGAAGTCTAAATCCTTAAAAATCATTCAAAATGGACCAGGTTGGGTGCAATTCATGCAGATGTCCAGGGGATCACCAGTTCTGAGGCTGAAGTTTGCTTAGAGAGTGAGACCCAGAAAGACTCATGGCCAGTGGGACATCTTCTTGGGAACCACAGAACTGCAGTCTTAACATTCAATTAGAATTGGTAAATGTTTGGAAAACAGACCTTTTGATATATACAGTTTAGAACTATACCTGAATATCTTACTAGATCTTCTTTTATTTTTCTTTAGGTGTGTGGAGTAATATATTTTCCTTTAGCCTATTGGATTCATGGATTGCAACTGACAGTTCAGAAGAAAGTTTTTGGCACAGATGTACCAGGGATAGAGTAAAGCAAATAGGTTAGTAAAGTACAAGTCATTTTAAATTTGATCACGGATTTTAATTATTTGGTTTATGTAATACCTTTCTAGAGTATCAATTCCAGTTATAAAATCCTGGATGGTAGATTTCCATTAAGCTAAATCAAAGCAGCTATATTATTGCAAAGAGTTAATTCTAAAATGTTATGTAAAGGACCAGTTAATCCACTGCAGCAAATTACATATGAGAACATTACTGGTCTTTGCTATGTTTTCTTTAGTTGAGCTTCAGGTGTTTAACAGTTTGGGTTTACAACTAGTCCTTTTCACAAATGCTGTAAGTTGTTGACAGATATGGGCATAATTCAGTAGATACATCTCATTCCTATTTCAGAATGTCTCTAAATGAATGAAAAAGTTAATAGGTGCACCCTATAGAGAACAACAAAAAAATAATGGTCAGCATAACAGTACACTTAAGTAGTACAAAACTGATCTCATAAATGCATACTTAGAACAGTATGTACTTAGTTCCCCAGTGCTTCTGAGAAGCCGGCCAGGATATGAGTCACCATCCTTCCCTAAATCATGTTGAGCAGGTACTGCACTGACCTGTATGTGTTAATGTACCAAGAGTTAGATAGATAACATTTATTATGGTCAGTGGCCAGATAAAACAGACATATATGAACTAAATAAAGCAAAGAAAAAAACAAACCTTTAAACCATCCACATTGCCATGAGAAATTGAAAAGGTGAATATGTGTATGAATGTACCCTGAGTAATACTTTGGACTATTAGAACTCAGAGTTATTTGGACTATTTGCTCAAAGTAATTATTAAATAAGGTATTAATGTGAGTCAGTATTTCAATTCTATATAACAGAAGATATGTGAATCAGGTATGAGGATGTCAGTCGTGTGATAGTGAGTTGTTTGTGCACATTCACAGCAGCTATATAGAACTTTGTTACATTATAGGTAATAACACTTTTCTTGTCTGATAAGAGGAAATTGACATGAAATTCCTCATGATAATTTGATGCATATAACTAGAGAGGGAAGATAAGTCTTCTTTGGATATCACTGTAGAAGGAGCAGTGCAGCAGCACGTGGAGAATAGATTCAACTGAACCATCACCACAAGGGCAGGTTCACCTAATCATGGGAGGGTTTATTGAATCTCCCATATCAAAGCATTATAGGTAGACTATTATATCTGGCTCTGAAGAAGAATCTTTGTTGGGCTGGAGAGATGAGTGAGTTGATGTGGTTGGCTGGTTTCCACATAACATGGTTAAACCGAGTTTGGACAGAATTTGGGATGAGTCCTCTTTCATTCTGGGCTTCAATGTCTAAAAGTCTTTAATAATTCTCCTTGCCTGAGTGAAATCAAGAGAATATAGGGAAACAAGGGAGAGGCCTTATGATAGATGTTTTTTATGTATTGCTTGAGTCCAAGAAGTCTCAAATTCAGGGATGGAATCAACCCAGTTGGAAAATAATGGTGTTTAAGCCAGTAATTAAAGTAATTAAAGATTAATAACCATTCCAACCTCAATCCTCAGCTGACCAGATTCTATTCTCAAAATTACATTAGACACGCATTTTGGGGCTTGGAATACTGCTCTTATAAACTTAGTTTGTACAGTTTTTATCTGTGTGTAATCTAGAAAGGGGTCTAGCTGGGAGCCACAGAACAACTGAGTCAGTGATTTTGCTGTGAATAATTTGAGAGGTGTAGGGATATATTCTCCACCTTTTGTCCAGAAAAATCTTAGGATGGCTGAAGAGCTTTTTTGAGCCTGCGCAACTACCACATTGATGTCTGAGTTCCCTGTCCTTGAGTCTTGAAAGGCAACACCTAAATATTTGAAAACCCTCACCTGCTCAGTTTCCTGCCCTTCTATTGTCCAGTGAAGCTTCCTGAATTTTTTTTTAGCAAAGACTATTATTTTGGTCTTCTGGAAGTTTAGGACAAGGTGATTTTCATGGCAGTTGCACACTAGGCTTTTGAGTGTGCACCAAAAGCCAGGTGGGGTCCTTGAAATAATGGGTGCACCATCTGCATCAAGCAGAAGTAGAACATCCATATCTGGTATTCTGGGCAGACAGAAGTTTGCATCTGAGAGTTCTTTTGCTAATAAGTTGATAAGCTGAGCAGAGAAGAAGCTAAAATGCATCTGTGCTTGACTCCCCTGTCCATAAGGATTGGGTCTGAAATTAGACCCTTGTGGACTGAATCTTACTCTGATCCTAAACTCTTGATACAATTTCTGGATTAGGAACAATAGCCCCAGGTCAATGCCCAATCCCTTTAGTTTTTCCCATAGAAGGGGCCTTGAGTTTGAGTCAAATGCTGACTTGAAGTCAGCAAAAGCCATGTACAGAGAAACTTGAGAACTTCTATTGTGGTACCAATAGAAGCGAATATGTGTAGCTCAGGATTGAACTGTGGAGTCCTTGGGGTTCTCTGAGCTTCGCCATTTTCTTGCAAATGTTTCGTTACCCGGCTAGGTAACATCTTCAGTGCTG